CTTCTCTTGTTGCGGAGCACGAGCTCTAGGCGCCGGACTTCAGTAATTGTGGCATGCGGGCTCAGTAGTTGTGGCTCGAGGGCTTAGTTGCTTCATGGCATGTGGGATCTTCCTGGACCAGGGATTGAACCCGTGTCCCTTGCATTGGCAAGCGGATTCTTAACCACTGTGCCACCAGGGAAGTCCCACTTTGTGAGATTTAATGCAGTTAATTAATGAAGTAATTAACTGTGCTTAATATTTTCTTGTCTCTCCACCGCACCAGTCTTAAGGTCTAAGAAGGCAGGGACCTTTGCTGTCTTACACATGTTAGGCTCTCAGCCATTTGTTATGAAATAAATGAAAGAGTGAAGGAATGGAGGGACTGCCAGACACTGCACTAGGGGCAGAAAGGAAGTAGAAATGAATAAGCATTGTTCCACTCCTTGAGGAGGTCCCAGGCTAGTGGGGGGTATAATATGAGCTTGTGCAAGGAAGACTGTCTTAAATATGTTAATGGGGGGTAAACATTAATGGGGATAAACACTAATGGGGAAAGCACCAAGAGATCCAAAGATGAGTGAGAATCAGTCTCAGAAGAGTGATATAATGACTTCCCTTTGAATTATGTGTTATAACTTACAAAGTGCTTAACTTACGTAAAATATGCAGGTATGTCCTTACTCCACAGAGATGGGGAAACTGCTGCTGCGAAGAGTTCGGTGACTTGCCCGAGGCCACCCAGCAATCATGGCTGCCTAAGTACACAGCGCACTCACTTTGGAATTTAGCTCTCACCCTTTAGGAATTGAGTTTTGATGTTGTGAAGGTCTTGGTTTAGATCCCAAGAGATGTGAGACTTTGGGCAGTTTACTTTACCTCCTTGAGTCTTGTTTTTCTAATCTGCAAGATAGGAATAATGACCTTCATAACCTATATGATGCTTGGTTTATAGTAAAGGATCCATAAGTGTTTGTTGAATGAATGTATGAAATACATGTGTTGGTGGGTGGTCTGAAATGTGAGAGGACTTAAAATTATGCCATTTGGGGGGTGGTAGGAGAAACTGAGGGTGATTCTATCCCTTCCCACTCTTACTTTCTATGATTCCTGTGAGACTTAAGCATTGGCCTCAACCACATTGTTCTAATTTATTGTTTGGAAACCAACAAAAGTGAACCAGCACGGGCTTGGTTAGCTTTCTTATTATATACATCTTTACTGCCTTTTTTCTGATGACCAAGTAATACATCCTCTTTGTAAAAAAATTTAAATTGCAGAAAGATATAATGAGGAGAAATGAAAGTGCAGGCAGGTTTAGGCACTGTAGCCGCAAGATGCTGTCAGATTGTTTACTCCTTGGGAGGTGGGGATGGGGCACAGGACAGGGAGCAAAAAAAGATTCTTCCTGTTTAAAGGTCTCTCCTACTGGCCTTGCTATAGTTCCTGGGAGTTCTGTTCAGAGTCTTGCCTCTGGCTATACCATTGAAAGTTCAAGTGCAGCTAAGGGCTGGGGAGACGTGAGAAGATGAGAATTGTCTGGGCTGGGGCTTTCCCTGGAATGCCATGAAGAATGAGGTGGAACCTGTAGAATTTTCTATGGCGTATGAACAGTTGGTTCAGATGCCCATTGCTGATACACCTTGTAGCTGTGTCTTCATCCTCTTTCTCCCTCTTAGCATTCAGTAGAGTCTTTTTTGAAAATTCCTGCTATACACACACACACACACACACACACACACACACACACACACACAAAGAAACGCAAAATAAAAAGAAGGCATCGTATTTAGTTTTCTGTATTCTCCATTTTGTAATGCATATACTAAGCATATAAATTATAATTATGGGATCCTACTACTTCTGTAATTCTGCAACTTATTCTTACTCTTTTTTTTTTTTTAATTTAACAATACCCGGTAGACACCTTTTCTTGCCTATTCATGAAAATCTATTCCATTCCTTTTACCAAATGAGTTTCTTATGGTTGGAACTATTACCTCCAGTCCAGAGGCCAGCACATGAGAGGCCTTACTGGGAGGCCATGTTGGAATAGTCACAGCAGCCACCATATCCTGGCATGAACTAGATGCCAGGCTCTGAACTAAGCTCTTTCACATGTTATTTCATTTGATCCTCACAGCCCCTGAATGGAATAAATACTATTATTATTCACATTTTTCAGATGAGAAACTGAGGTGCAGAGACTTGAAAGCCCAAGGTCACACAACTGGTAAGTAATGGAGCTGAGATTTGAATCCTGATCTGTCCTGTGCCAAAGCTTTTGCTCTGAATGAATGAATAAGTGGCTGATCAGTTCATGGGTCCCAGAGAGAAGGTTCTGTCTTCAGAACCTCCCCTGTATGTCCTGGGTTCTCTCTTCCAAGTGTCTGCAATGCTTGGAATCAGCACATAGCAGGGACTCAGTAAAGGCCCTTTCTTTGCCTGCAGCAATCCTGTGGCCATGCCTTCCTTTCATGGGAAGTTGAATTTTGGAATCTCTTATTCTAGAAATAAGCTGCGATTTGTTAGGGGCTCTTGAGGACCAGCCCAAGGCAATTCAGAACAGCCATTTGCCTGTCCCCCCTCGCAGGAAATTAATCAGAACCCCAAAGCCCTTTCCCTCTTCCCACAGGCCAGCACTCTGGAAACACCCAGTGCCTTGCTGCAGTTCTGCTAGAAGACTGCGGAGTCGCCAAGGGCAGTTTAACACAGATCCATCTCTCTGTAAGGAAAATGAGAGGAGAGAGGCACAAGGGAGAACCGGGTCAGCTCTGCTGCAAAGGATGAGAACTTGAAGGCGTCCCCAGCCTGGACAGGTGCTGAGTGACAGAGACACTCTGGGGTATCAGCTGTGACTCTGCAGAATCCACCTGGGGTCTAAAAACTGCAGTTTCTATTCCAATGGCCATGTTCTGCAGGACCCCTTTCAGTGAACCTCTTCCTCTCTCAGCACCTCAAAGTCTTCCACTATGAAATGATTAGGTGGATTATCACTAGGGATGCTATCTGGTGTTAGGAACTAGAAATAATATTGATGATAATAATAATAAGAATGAAGGGCTTCCCTGGTGGCTCAGTGGTTAAGAATCCGCCTGCCAATGTAGGGGACATGGGTTCGAGCCCTGGTCCGGGAAGTTCCCACATGCCGTGGAGCAACTAAGCCTGTGTGCCACAACTACTGAGCCTGCACTCTAGAGCCCGTGAGCCACAACTACTGAGCCCACATGCCACGACTACTGAAGCCCATGCGCCTAGAGCCCTTGCTCCACGGCAAGAGAAGCCACCGCAATGAGAAGCCTGCGTGCCACAAGGAAGAGTAGCCCCTGCTCGCTGCAACTAGAGAAAGCCCGCGCCCAGCAACGAAGACCCAACACAGCCAAAAATAAATAAATAAATAAAATTTAAAAAAAAAGAATGAAAATAAGAATGACAGGTACATTGTGGAAAACTGTGCCTGGTGCTTTCCACACAGTGTCTTATATAATTTTAAACCGAACACCACAAGGACTGTATTAATATGTCCATTTTACAGATGAGGAGAATGAGGCTCAAAGAGAGCTAGTACGGGGCAGAACACGGGTATATAATCCCAGGGTTTTCTGGCATCAGAACCTGAGCTCCACAAACATGTGTGGGCTCTGACCTCAAGGAAGTAAGGAAGTGCTAAGAAACAAAGGGGAGGTCAGTTTGACACAAGTTAAAATGTGTTCATGCCCACATGAGAGTTAACACAATGCCATGGGTATTAAGAGTAGGGAGGGCTTCCCTGTTGGCGCAGTGGTTGAGAGTCTGCCTGCCGATGCAGGGGACACGGGTTCGTGCCTTGGCCCGGGAAGATCCCACATGCCGCGGAGCGGCTGGGCTCGTGAGCCATGGCCACTGAGCCTGCGCGTCCGGAGGCTGTGCTCCGCAGCGGGAGAGGCCACAACAGTGAGAGGCCCGCGTACCGCAAAAAAAAAAAAGAGTAGGGAGAGTAGGGAGAGTCAGCTTCTGGCTGGGAGAAACTAGGAAGAGTTGTAAACTGAGAAGAGACAGCAAGGGAAGAGCATGAGCAATGCGCAGATGTGGGAAAGCAGTGGGTGTGCTAGGGGAAGTTTGGATAAACTGTGTGTGTGTGTGTGTGTGTGTGTGTGTGTGTGTGTGTGTGTGTGTGTGTGTGTGTGTAAAGGTAGGAAGAGATCATACCAGGCCAGGCATTTGGCCTTTATTCCATAGGCAATAAGGAGCTTACACAAGAGATATCTCAAGAGACCAGCTATGCTGCTGCAGTCAAAGAGGAAGCAGCCCTCAGTGCATCTGGGTCTGGGCTTGTGAATGCAACCCTGTGTCAGTATGTGGGAGGGCATCTGAGGGGAGAGTGTCTAGAGCTGTGTTCTGTACCATGCTGGAGCTGGGTCTTAGACTGTCTTCAAAGGACCCCTCTCCCTTCTCTGGGCTCTAGGTACCTTGCACATAGTAGGTCCACAGGAAAATGTCATAGAATTATTGGTGGGCCCTTTGAAATCATCTGGTCATTGCCCCTTCCCATTTTAAAGAAGGCAAAAGGAGGGAACATAGATGGCAAAGGACTTATCTAGGATCACACATGGAATTAATAGCAGAGCTGGAGACTGGAACCCATGCCTCCTGAGTTCAAGCTGAGTTCCTTTTCCACACTTTGCTGAGTAATAGCAATAGTATTTTTTGAGAGATTACTCCATACTAGACCTTGGGCTAAATACCTTTACATGGATTATCTCATTTAATCCCACAATCCCCTGAGGGTGCCCCTTTTGAAAGCAGGACGTCTTGTCTTCCATTTCGATTTTCCACCGCGCGTAGCACAGGACCTGGGCACCTAGCTAATTAGGCGATAAAAACTTGGAAAAGTCCAAGTCCCGGGAAGGGGGAGAAGACAAAGGGGGAGGGACCGTCTATCAGCTCCGCCCCCACAAAGACCCCGCCTTCCAGGACGCTGACGTCACCTTCTGGCTCCGCCCCTCATTGTCAGTCTTGGGAGCCGGAGGAGGCGCCGGCCGCCGGGAGCCGAGCGCCGGAGCCCTTGGCGGGCGGGAGCGCGGGCCGTAGCCGCCGAGGTGAGGAGTCTGTGGGGAGGTGGCGGGAGCGCGGCGCGGGAGGCCGGGCGGGCGGGCGGAGAGAGGAGGGCGCCCGGAGGAGGAGGCCTGCCCCGCCAAGGGGTCGGGGCACCCAGTGGTGACCGGGCAGAACCGGCGGGCGCACCCCGGCGAGGGCTGGGGGGTTGTGGAGTTGAGGTGGGGGTAGAGTTTGAGCGGAATTTCGGAGAAGGAGCTCGGAAAGGGAGATCTTTGGAGAGAGACCTTGAGAATTCTTTTGGAGTTGGAGATTTTTCCTTTGAAGGGGGAGGGAAGGTTTTGAGAGACTTCTTGGTGGGAGCGAGAACCTGAGGAGAAATGTTAGAGGCCAAGAGCTGAGCAGAGGAGAGTTTTAGGGTCGAGTTTGGGAGTTGGGGGGTGGGGAGGCGCGCGGGGCCCGGTGGGGGCGGGGAGCGGTGCGGCCGGGCGGGGGGCCGGGACGCCGGGGAGGGGGCTGCGCGGGGCCCGTGGGCACCCGGGGAGGAAGGAAGTGATCTTACAGGAAGAGCCCGGGAGCTCCCGAGGAGGAGGAGGAGAGGTGGAGAAGGAGGAGGTGGAGGGAGGTTTGGGAGCGCTCAGGCTGGCGTGCGGGCCGGGCTGCGGGGCCCGGTGGCGGGGACGCGGGATGGGCGAGGAGGGGGTCCCGCCGCGGCCGCCGCAGCTGTCCGCCCGCAGCGCCAGCCCGTGTCCCGGCCGATGCTGGTCTCGCAGCCAGACCGCTGGGCCGGGAAGGAATTCGAGGCATTCGCTTTGTTTAAGTTGCCAGTAGACAGTCCTTAGGACTAATTAATGGTGGAATCTGCTGGGGGACGCGGGCGAGCCGGGCCGGGGCCGCCCCCGCCCGCAGCCGCGGTGAACTTTCCGCAGCGCGAGCGGCCCGCCTCCCTGCGCGCCCCCACCCTTGCCCGGGCGGGGAAAGAGCCATGGCTTCCCGGAGCGCTGGAATGAAGTGCGGTTTCTGGGGCCGGTGGCCTCGGGCTGCGAGGGCTGCTGAAGGGAACCCGGCGTCCCGGAGCGGCCGGGCTGGGGGTTCGGAGCCCGCTGTAGAGCTCCCTGGGGTGCCTGCGGTTTCTGTTAATAACCTTGGAGAAGGCTCTGCGAGCCGAGAAAGACCATCTTGCTTTGGAGCATCTGTTTCTTCGTCGCGTCAGTCCCTTTCCTAACACTGCAGAGCTTGTTGTGGCTTGTTTCGGAAATGCCGAGACCAGTGCTCACACTTGAGGGTGGGAGAGGGGAAGAGAATAGGCAGCCCCCACTTCAAAAAAAAAAAAAAAAAAAATCCCTGCAGTGTGATCTCCGTAAAGCCCGAGAGACTGCAGATTCTCCGTCGCACCTTCACTGACTTGGATGACCTTGGGAAAGGAATTGTGCTTCTAGTGTTTAATCTGTCCATTAAGGAGAAAATACTCTCTGGACCTGCCTGCCTTTTTGGGGGTATTTTGAGAGGTGGGGTTTGTTCAGGGCGTTTTACGGACTGCTGCAGTTCTGGCCTAAGGAGTTGGACTGGTGTCAGAGCCTGGGGAATTCAGATCACCTATTAAGATTTTACTACCTAAGGTTAGGGAGGGAGGTGTTTGGATTTTAGGGGGATGTTTCCCTTCGGAGAATCTGTACGGTGTGTTCCAGACGGCTTTCTGTTACTTTGCGTGCAGCTTTGGCGGCATTCATGTGGTTAAATTGAATAACCCCCATAGAAAAAAATTCTTTTCTTGTTAGAAATAATTGTTTTGCTCAGAATTCCCCTTGGGGCAGATGAAGGTTTTGCTCAATTTACTCAGAAGAATTTTCCAGGTTTCTAAAATTAAATCACTTCTAAACATAGTAACTGAAGTTTGAAAAACTGGAAACGGTGGGATGGGAAGGGAGTTGATCTAGAGTGATGAACAAGGAGCAAATACAGGTTCATTGTTGTCCTGTGATTACTAATAGGGATTGTGAATTAGCCTTGATTAATAGATATTTTCTTACTCTTAAATAATTTAAGACCAAGAAAGGGAACTAATATTGTTGAGTTGCCTACTCTGTGCCCAGTAATTGTGCTACATGGTATAGATCTCATATAGTCTTCACAACAATGCTGTGAGGTGGTAGTTGGCATCCCTGTTTCACAGATGAGCAAACTGAGGGTGACTTTCCTAAGTGTATGCATACAACTAGTAAGAAGTGGAGCTGGAATTCAAACCGAAGTCTGTTTCTAAGATCCACTCTGCATATTGGGTTGGGAGCCAGGAGGCCTAGTTTCCAGGCCTTTGACTCAGCCACTGGGTCACTATGGTTGCTAAAATGAGTCAATTAAGTCTGTTCCCCAATAATATTACCTTTTCTTCCAGCAATGTTATCAGTAAGCTTTTGATATATTCTAATTTTTTTGATAGAAAGACAAACATATAAGGCTGTGGTAGAGGTATGTTCTGTATGCTTAGGTGCTTAATTTTTTTCTTATGATGGAAGCATTTGTATTACAATAAAGAGCATAGAATTCATTTATGTAGTGGAAGATGACGGATAGCTAATGGTCCTTCTGCTGTAGAGGGCATCATTAAGGAGACATTCATAATCAGAAATGGAAACATTTTTCATGGAACATGGCTTTTTGGGACAGTGTTAGTTTATGAGTAGAGCACACACATTTCATACAGGTAGGACCCAAGTAGTCAAGCTGAAAGATTTGGTATAAACTTTGATGCACATGATAGATGCTCAGTAAATATTGCTGGATGAATGAATGCATGCATTCTCTTTAAAAAAATCAGCTTTATTGAGGTATAATTTACATACGATAAGATTCACCAACCTGAAGTGTACAGTTTAATGAGGTTTGACAAATGCATACAGTTATGTGATCACAACTGCCCTCATTTGTTTAAACTGTGTGTTATCTCTTTGGTGTTGGTTAGCAGAGTGATCGTTGGGAATGCTGTGAAGTTTCTATGTTCAGAATCAATACTGGTGAGATCAGAGTGAATACTAGATAGTCAGTGTGCCAACTTTGTAAGAAACAGGGAAACCTTAGGTATCTAATGGTGAGGTGCATGAGAAGAGTAAGAGAGGTAGAGATGAGGACACTTGTCAGATCAGCAGAAAGATAAATTCGTGAGGAACCGGGTTTTCATTACTTTTTAGGATAGGGGATACACTGTGGGGAAAATAAAAAATTACCCAAAGATTTATTAACAACTTGAATTTCTACTTTTGTTTCTTTTTTGAAATATTATCTCTTGTAATATAAAACTTAACATCTTTGGGGCTTCCCTGGTGGCGCAGTGGTTGAGAGTCCGCCTGCCGATGCAGGGGACATGGGTTCGTGCCCCGGTCCGGGAGGATCCCAGATGCCGCGGAGCGGCTGGGCCCGTGAGCCATGGCCGCTGAGCATGCGCGTCTGGAGCCTGTGCTCCGCAACGGGAGAGGCCACAACAGTGAGAGGCCCGCATACCGAAAAAAAACAAAAAAAAACTTAACATCTTTGGCTATACTTAAGAAGTGCTTTACACAATATGGTTGTTCAAATAATTCTTAAGGGTGGGGATGCTATAAAATGATTAAAGGCTTTGCCCTTCCACCTATGACAGAATATCCTTAGTGTTAATCTCTAACTTGTTTTAGCTAATATTCCACAAAGGGAATACATTAGGTAGGAATTGTGTCTTGCTGGGAAAACATAGATTATTTTTTCCTTCTCATAATTTCTGAAGTCACTGAACCTGTCCCAGTCTGCTTCAGCTCAAGTCTCTGTCTTAGAAAATGCTTGAAACTACTGTATCTGACCTGCTAGAAGAAGCCCTAGTTTTATCTTTGACTCCTTGTTTTTCTTTTCTTTTCTTTTTTTTTTTCTTTTTTTTCGCCGTGCCACGCGGCATGCAGGATCTTAGTTCCCCCATCAGGGACCAAAACCTGTGCCCCCTGCAATAGAAGCTCAGAGTCTTAACCACTGGACTGCCAGGGAAGTCCCTTTCTCGTTTTTCTTTATTCATTCTATTTTTATTGTTGACTCTTAGATAATCCTCTTCTCCCACTTATGAATCTTGAGAATGGAAACTCATCAACCATTGGCCCTCCATATACCATTAGGAAATGATAATTAAATTAAAATACCAGTCTACCAATTCAACATTTTGGGTGGTGATAGAGAGAAAATAACAACTATGAGGTAGTCATTATCCTCTTTATACATGAGGGAGCTGGGCTCAGAGCAGTTACTGTTGGAGCTGTGAGGGGCAGACCATTGGTTTCAGCTCAGATGTGATTGATGCTCAAGTTTAGGATCTTTGTGTTTCATTACACTGCTGTATTGGAGTTGGGGTGGCAAGGGAAGAGCTTGAAAATACCATATTAAAATATAAGCTAAAAGATAACGAGCATGGCTCACCTTTTTAGGCATTGCTGTTTTCATCTATTCCTTTTTTAATTTCTAGAGATACCGTCTCACATTCAAAGGAATTTATAGCTCATCCTTTATTGTATAACTCCCTTTCTAGACCCAGCATTTATTCTTTATAAACATGGTACTTTATATTCACTGGCTGCTTGACTTATTTTATGAAAAATCTCCTCCTGTTTTATATGGATCTGAAAGCTTCCACCAGGTTAATATGTCAATCAAGTCCTTCCATATTTGCATGTGCTCCTCTGTTCCCATTTTATCTGGACAGACTAATATTTTTAAAACATATGTTACTAAAAACTTGCAAAAAATTTAAAAAATTATTACAACTTTTAATTGAAGTATATAATATTTATATGTAGAAAAGTACACATAAGTGTACAACTTGATGATTTTTTTCACAAACTGAATATACGCATGTAACCAGCACCCAGATCAAGAAACAGCATTGCCAGGACCTAGAAGCCCCTGTTGAGTTCCCTTCGGGTTCTCACTGCCTTTCCACCCACCCAGGGTAATCACCATCCTGACTTCTAACAGCATAGATCAGTTTTTGTACTTCTGTAAAAATGTTTGTAAAACATTTTTTCAAAAGTACAAA